GTTATGGAATATAAAATTGAAGAGCTACTGGGGTCCTGCGTGACAAATACTGAATATGGAGGGTCAACACGCTCTAACAGACGGGTCAAAGAAAACAAGTAAGGAAGAGGTGAAGGTGCAGTGTTTGTCATTCTTTGTCAGAATGGTGACGGGATGTAGTCCTTCTTTATATCATATTTCATCCTTTTAAGGGGAAAAGAGGAGGATGACAGAGGAGTGTGAGTGTGTACACTCATCTATCTGGGAGCTTTTCTGACAGTTTCAAGGCGGCATGAATTTTAAATAGAAGGCAAGTAGCGATGAGTGACAGAGGAACATTGCGCTCTAAAAGAGAGGGAATCCAGAATGGCATTTACAGGCAATAAATCAGCCACTTGAAACAAATTACACGTGTTCTCTTAATAAATACCCTCCGTAAAACACCATTGGAGGTCACATAAAGCGGAACAGTAGTCACACGGAAGGACAGGTGAGGTATGCGACATGCCTCAAGCTATGTCAGAAATATCATTATGAGGAATTATGTTTCTGTTAAAGAGCTTTAGGGGAATAACTTCAGGTCAGAACAGGATAAACACAGCAAACCTCTTCAGCGCTCTTAAGGTTTTTTTTTTTTACTTATTAAATATGTTGGTCCCACTTTATATTAAGTGGCTTTAAGTATGTACTTACATCGAAAAATAAGTGCAATGTACTTATTGTGTTCAGGTTGTATTGGAAAACTCTTTTGCTGCTATTGAGGTCTGATAGAGGGGTCAGGTGTGTGTGGTATGGGTAGGTTTAAGGGTGGGTTAAGGTGTAAGGGACGAGTGTAATTACAAATGCAATTACAACTTAATTACAGCTGTAATTACATGCAGGTATTTTCAAAATATAAGTACAATGTAAAAGCATGTATGTACACCGCAAGTTAATTGTATCAAATTATTCATTTCAATGCAAGTACATTAAAGCCACTTAATATAAAGTGGGACCAATATGTTTAACACAAAAAGTTCAATAAAAAGTAATAAAAAAGCTGCATGGGTAACATGTTAGTTGATGGATAAATTCTCACTATTAACTACTGTAGTAGCTTAATAGGATATCACGAGGATGTTAGCTGTTTATTAGTCCTTATAAAGCACATATTAATGCATTGTTCTGCGTGACCGATACATTCCTAATCCTACCCAACACCTAAAAGTAACAACTACAATACTAACTATCAATAAGCAGTAATTAGGAGTTTATTGAGGCAAAATTGATAGTTATTAGTTAGTTAGTAGTGAGAATTGGACCCTAATCTAAAGTGTGACCGAAAGCGGTTAAAAAAGCACTATGAAAGAAAGCCGTTGATTGGAATAATGTTCAATATACAGTACAGTTGATTGGTCATAATTTGCAAAAAGGCATTCAAAAGAGCTGTTTCTAATCTTTGAATGTCATTTATTTGAGCATGGAGATAATGTTTGCTTTATTTGTGGATGGAATAGAATAGTAGGACTTAGTGTATAGTGAATAGTGTAGACTTTGTCTCTAGGAGGATGCCCCTTTTCTAAGCTAAAGCGCGTATATAAAAAAAAAAAAATCATGTACTTGTTCTTTTAGGTTGGCTGTTTTTTTTTTCTCATTTGTAAATCGCTTTGAATTGTCATCCGCTAAATGACTAAATGTAAATGTCTAGTCTTTGTCCCTCTGTCAAGAATCTGTCCTTAATGTGAAACCCACCCTAGTGAAAGTGAACGTCTGTTTAACATGCTAATTCTGAGGGAACCGTTCATCAGGGAAAGATGAGCCATGAATATTTCAGGAGCCGTTCACTGCACACATGTTGTGTGTATGGTGTTCGTCCATATGTTCTGTCTCTCTCTGGATACTGTGTCTCTCTCTGTTTCACAGTCAGACACACACACACAGGTGTAATTGATGTGCAAAGTTATATGATGTGATGAACGCGGACAAGGAGTGAGGTCATTAACTGAGGAATTAGCAGGACATGGCTCTTGGGTAAAGGCAAGATATCAACATCTCAGGAAGAGAGAGAGGTGTTAATTGCTTTAGTTGAGCTGTGCTCAGGTGGATCATAGCCTGTGAGATTTCTGTTTATATAGATCATCTCTGCGATATTCTGCTTAGGAGGTCCACTAAATATTTGAATACAATAAAAAACATTTTTACAATATGTTTGTACAATAAGTATGTGATTTCTGTCAAATAAATGCTATTATTATGGACTTTTCCTCAGTACAACCGTTTTCAACGCTGATGATAAATAATTAGAAATGTTTAAATCACAAATCAAATCAGTATATTAGAATGATTTCTGATGGGTCATGTGACACTGAAGTCAGCAGTCATTGGACGTTTCAATCAAACAATTTAAAGAAATATTAACATACAGCAATAATCACAACATATTTTGAATGGGACTCGAGTGGACTCGGGAATAAGTCCTAATATATTCGAGTACGAGTCAATTCCGAGTCAAAATGCATACGAGTCCATGACAAGACCTAGACCATTAAAATATGGTCCGAGTCTCGAGTACACAACACTGAATCTTACTGACTCCAAACTCAGTTATAGTGTATAGTTGGAAAAGTTGGAAAACCCCTTGCTCTTATAGTGTGCGGTAACAGCGAAATAGTTGATAGGAAAGGACTGTGATTCATTATGAGACTGTTGCCTGTCGTGAAACAAAGAAGTGATGTTTGAATCCGGTGTCTTTTTTTTTTTTTTTGCTGCAAGTTACACAACAGAGCGCCAGTTTAACTCTCATCTCCTCCCTGTCATGTTTACAGCATCTTTATCAAATCAGACCTAGCCTACTCTATGCTTTTGTAAACAACTCGACCTCACAAACACAATTTACTCACTGTTGTTTCCTATGTATTTATTTATTTAAGTCTTTTTTCAGTTTTGGGATGGATTTCAAAAGGCAGCCTAATTACAATCACTAAGCGAGTGAAGTCGGGGATGAAATAGCAGATCATTTAGCATATAGTGCTGCTGTAATTTGTACAGGTTTGAGTGTGTGGAGAGAGCTGATTTCCCAGCAGGCTCGGTTTAGGCTCCGTGCCTGTTTCTAGAGTGGATATACTCAAGTCAGGTCGAGTTTGGCTTGAACAAGCAGCCAAGGATAATACAGGGCAATGTTTCCGGTGGCTTCAGCAAATTCAGTCTTCCTCAAAAATGGGGAGTTATTAAATATCCAAACATGGCCATTGATCAAGGGTGGGAGACGGCTATAAATTCAGCCCAGACTTTATAGCCACAGACTTGGTGTTACCAAGGTCTCTCAACCTCAGCACAGCACAAAAGAGGATGTAGATTTATTATAAAATATCACGGAACTGTACTAGTATGTTTGTGTAGATTTGGACTGTTTTAGCACTGTATTTCTCTTTTATCTGTAAGCTTGCAAACACATCCTCACTTTGCATAACACACACACACACAACCACTGCAATGTTTATGCAGATGGTAAAACTCCACAAAATCTGCGGCTCTGAAGTTTCCAGATTTCTAGCATTATTAACTCATGCCATGTATACAGACTCATTACGAAAGCATTTTGGATGCCGTTTTCAGCACACCCAACTGGAGTTGTCAAGGCAGCAACTGCAGGATTAAGAAGTCTTACACAATGATTGTGGTATCTTGGACTTTTACAGGAATTGTTAAAGGGTTAGTTCACCCAAAAATGAAAATTTTGTCAGTATTAACTCACCCTCATGTTGTTCCAAACCTCTATGTGTTTATTTGTTCTGCTATACACAAAGGAAGATATTTGGAAGAATGTTTTAATCAAACAGATCTTATTCCCCATTGACTACCATGTATTTTTTCCTACTATGGTAGTCTACGTGTTTATTTGTTCTGCTGAACACATTGAGGTTTGGAACAACATGAGGGTGAGTAAATACTGACAGAATTTTCATTTTTGGGTGAACTAACCCTTTAACATCAGATACTTTCATGTGTACTTTATTTACTGCAGTTGAAGACCGTTAATAAGAGCCCGTTCTCATCCTTTGGCGTCATACAGGTGACGCCATATGACATTTTGTCGAAATAATACGCACATGGCACTCTTTAGCGTCAATATAACACGCAGAACCCAAGGTGTCACATACTGTAGGTGACTGGCATCCTTTAGCGTCAATATGAGACGCAGACCCTACCCCAGATTGACGCTAAAGGGTGCCGTGTGCGTAGTATTTCGACGAAATTTCATATGGCGTCACCTATATGACTCCAAAGGATGCGAATGTGTTGGTTAAGTATGCAGGTGTGTATATATACAAAAGTGTACAATCTGCGTGGCATGGGAAAGTACAGGGTCTGTCAGGTGCACATATCTGAGATGTTTACTTGTAACTACAGAAATGATGGAGGAAAAACTGAAACAGCAAGTGAAAAAATGGAAAATATAGAAACAAGAAAAAGAAGAAATTAAATGAAAAAAATTATTGAAATTATAAAAATATGAAACAATATAAATAATTCAAAAATGGAATAAATGAAATCAAAATATTAAAAATATAGAAACTCAAAATTGAATAAAGGAAGTTACACTTAATGAATATAGAAATAATCAAAATATGAAATAAATGAAAAAAATATGAAAATACGAAACAATATATAGAAACTGTCAAAAAAGGTGTGTGTAGCATACTAATCCAGCATTAAGCAAATCTATAGTCATGTTAAACTGCTTGGTTAAAGCAATCTTGAGTTAGGAATTGTGTCTGGCCATTGATTTAATGGGCAGTAGCACATAAGAGGATTGTGGGCAGGAAGTGAATTAGCAAAATAGAAAGGGAATCTTGAAGCTTCCTCGTCATTTTAAAGAATAAGGATGTGGATTTTCCGTTTTCTGCATTTAAGTAGAAAGTATTTTTCAGAACTGAAAAATGTTATTGCCGTCATGATGGCACAAAAAATGCTACAAAGTATGAGATAAATGTGACAACGAATGTTAAAAATGACTGCTCTGCTTCTGTTATTCTTTCCAGTCTTCATCTGCAGTTTCATGGTGGCCGCACCCATTTTCGGTTACCTGGGGGACCGTTTCAACAGAAAGATCATTCTGAGCAGTGGAATTTTCTTCTGGTCCTTTGTGACACTGCTAAGCTCCTTTATTACCAAAGATGTAAGTGCCATACTCTCTTCCTCCTCAACAAACAGCAGCCTAAACCTTCAAACCCGTCTCTGCCCAGAACCTCTTAAAGGAATCATATTGTCTTGATTATCATTCTATGTTTCTTGTAGCGCTAGTCGCGGGTATTTTTAGCAACCCAGCAGCAGTAGCATCTCTAAAGCTCATTCAGTTTCTGGCTCATTTGAGAGCGCTTTGAAATGACACTTGAGTCATTCAACATAGCAGGACTCATTTAACATAGAAAAAAAAAAACATATCAGTGTACTTTATTATACTCTCTCTCTCTCTCTCTCTCTCTCTCTCTCTCTCTCTCTCTCTCTCTCTCTCTCTCTCTCTCTTTCTATTTTGCTAAGATGAATTGATTAGATGACATGCTCACTTAGCATAACACTAAGCTGGTCTCAGAAGACCTCTTGTTATAACTCTACTACTGTTTGTCATCCTCCTTGTCTTCTGTATCTTACTCCCTGTTTCATCCAGCCCTCACTCGCTCATGTCATTAAGAGATCACTGTTGTTAGCCAATAATTTTAGAGAGTCACAAAAAAAACACTAAACTAATATCAAAAGCCCTATATATTTTCTATTTGTTTGTGAGAATTATATATATATATATATATATATATATATATATATATATATATATATATAAACATTTTAACTGTATGTACATACCGGTATACGTATTTATCACTTAAAATTTCATTGCCATACTTTCTTTTAGCCATTGTCCTATATTTGGTGCACAAATACTTTTTAAATTTTAGAAAAAATAAGATGTTTTGCTTGTATAATACATATATTTATAAATTTATACTCTTTATTTTTTAACTTGATCTCCTTAGCATAAATGAAATAAAAAGTAAAGATGGCAGTGTAATGGTAGGATCTTCTCTATCATTTCTTTCACACCTTTCCAAAAATTGTTGACTTTTTCACACTCCCATATGCAATGATATAGGGCACCTTTAAACTCACTGCATCTAATGTGTCAGGGACATTTTCATTATATTCATGCTATATAATATGAATCTGTATCAACCACTTAAATTGTAGCAGTTTCAGACATGTGCTCATTTTTTTGTGATTGAGCTCATGTTTCATCTAGTCCCCTATCTGAATATCCTCATTAAGATCCAATCGTGATGAGAATTCTTACTGGATAAGAATTAAGGATAAGGATATTATTTTTATATTTACAAAAAATTATATTTTAGAGCTTGGCATATGTAGATAAATGGTATGAAAACAAAAAAACATGCTGTTTGGGTGACTTTAAATGAGAAATATCTAATATCGCAGCATCTGTTAAAGTTTTTTTTTATTTTTTTTATTTTTTTAATCATTTTACGTCATCTCTCGGCCATTGGCCTGGGCCCCACCTGAGAACCACACTGATCAAAGTTAAAAAATAAATAAACAAATAAAAACATTTTGCACTGATGGTTAAGATTATATGATGACAGATGCACTTGTTTATTAAATAGCACAGTGTCAATTGCTAAAATACTCTAATGTTACGGAAGTCTTCATCTTCATCATTTCTCTTTTACTTTAGCCACCGTCACTTATTACAAGACCAGAAAAGGGGTTTGACTTTGGTCATTCATTTCAGTATTTGAGCTGCTTCTTTAAGCTTTGCATGAACAGTATAATTCAAGAGTGACATCTGTTAGTAAGTACAGTCTTCAAACCCTGACTCTCTGACTGTAACCTAATTCTCACTGTAAATACAGTCATGTATTAGTGCTTGTGTTGAACATAAAAGTCTTCATATAAACCTATGTTGAGAGGAACTGAGACAACAGTAAAGCAAAACTAAGAACAGCAGTCAAAAACGTGACAATTTAATTGATGCTTATCGTCTATAATCTCTCATAGACCATCTCAATCAAATGATGTGTGTGTGTGGCCAGTTTCCAGGGAGGTTATTGCAACAGAGGCAGACAGTGGCAGCTAATTAAAAGGCCATGTTAATAAGAGGAAGACTGTAAAATGACAACAGAGGAATGTTCCCTGTGGCTACAATAACTGATTTTAGTGATAACTAGTGACTTAGTGATGGTTCGTGTGCGGTTTGGTTCCCTTTAGCCAGTCAAATAGTGTGAGGACTGCATATGTACATATAGAAGATGTGTGTGTGTGTGTGTGTGTGTGTGTGTGTGTGTGTGTGTGTGTGTGTGTGTGTGTGTGTGTGTGCGTGCGTGTGTGTGTGCGCGCAACTGAGGATATAAATGCGCTAATCCCCTCGATCTGCATTGCTGAGTTGATACTGACAGGACGAGCCAGTCTGCATCAATGTCACATGATCCTCCAAGACTGCACACACATGCACATATGCATACATGAGCGTGAGGACTGCAGATATCCTTTTATCAGTCAATCATCCAACCCACAGCGGTGGGCTGTTATATAACGCTTTCCACCAAGAGAAGTAAGCAGATCATCTCTGCTTTTACGCAGCACTCGTATTTACGCAGAAGCTCATCATCACCATCACGTTAATGTTACTCCGCAACATTGGCGCAAGGTCTGAATTACATTATTCATAATGAGCTGAGTGGTGTTTTATAAGAATAGACTGAAAAATTATTTAAAAAAATACTATTACGCCAAGAAAACATCTTAACAGAATGTAATTCTTGTGTATTAGTTTGGCTTAAAGACGCCCAGCACTGATACTAGGAAGAAAAATATCTATCAACTATAATATCAACAAATATCAACTAAATCTGTCTATGGCTTAAATTGACCACACAACCTCTTGCTGATCTGTTCCACGACCAAAATCCCTTGTAATTCGATGTTCAGCTTCATTTAACAAGATTTCTAAGGGCTTTGGGAAGAGACAGTCAATTCACTGCACTGTGTTTCTACAACAAGACTGCAGTTTATTCGCAATTAAAAGACAGAATTTAAGATGTCTGAATCTGATTCCCATGTCATTGTGTCGCTTTTGCCTGATGACGAGAAAACAAAACATCAGGAGGCGTCAGCGCAGCGGTGGTGGTTTTTAGTTAGATATGCACATATTCATACAGAATGTATTTGAATGCTCATGTTTATGCATGTTTTTGAGGGATTGAGTGGAGTCTGATGCGTACAGTCAGTCCTACAGTACAGCAAACTCATGAATTGGTTGTGGACTGGAACAAAATTAACAAGGCAGATGCGTCAACTTTGCTTTTCAACCTTGGGGTTTTAACCACTCATCCACAAGCTCAAATAAAAACGGAAGTATGAGTGTGAAGAAAAAAAATCAAATCCTCACAAAGAAAGTAATACTTAAACATAAATACATTTGCATCCAGTCTGTCAACACATAAAGCAAAAACGTCAAGATTCAAAAAGGTCTCAGGATCAAATTCACTAAACTTTGGCAAGCAATCAAGTTGAACCAGACTGTGAATATCTAAATTAAGCCGGTGTAAACAGGAAATGGATTGACGTGATGCCACAGATTGACAGGTGGCTGACGAATCAGGGAAGGATACGTCATGACTAATGACAGCCAATCATAGAGCCAAGTGTGAGCTTCTGCATCATCGTTTCTAAAATCCTCCGTTTTGTCCCGTCTTCACTAAAACACCCTGCGGAGATTCACAACGCAGCTGCAGCGTTTTTAAACTTCTCCGTTTTAGGTCTTCGTTTTTTCCGTTTTAGTCTGGACGGGAGGTGCAAACATTGCAAAAAGTCTCCGTTTTTAAAAGAAAATGCAGTAGTGTGGACGGGGCCTTAACTTAGACACACACACACACACACACTGCTCTGACACTGTAGGCGTGTGTGATTGACAGGGCAATGGAGGGTTCAGAGACCACCAGCTTTAAGTCCCTCCCTCCACCTTACTGTAAATCTTCTCACACTGGATGACATAAGTGTGTGTGTCACTTTAAATAACCACTCTCCAGACGTATGTATGTTCAGCAAATCACAGCACAAGCATTAATCTTTTATGTGTATGTGTGCGTGTGTGTGTGTGTGTGTGTGTGGGGGGGGGGGGTGAAAGGAGGAAAGGTTGTGTAACAAACAAACAACTAGTCATCCACTCACCCTCTCCACCATCCCTCTATTTTCTTTTTCCCTCACAGCACTTCTGTCAATAAACAATATCACACAGCTTTTGTCATTTTAGAGCAGAGTCTTGAAAAGCAGGAAAGGAGCTGAGCAAGAAAGGGGGAGGGAGGGATAGAGAAATCCTCTCAGTGCCAGAGGATAACCCAGCTTGCTGCAGTCTCTCATTGCTGATTCCTGTCACGTACTCTAAAGAAATTCCCCCGCTGAGAATTGTGTAACATTCAACAACAAGTAGCTAAAGTTATTTCTCTTTTGGCTGTATGTCGTGGGGCTGCTGTCACACCAAAGACTGTCAGGTGGAAAAGAAAAAGGATAAAAAGCAGGAAAGGGAGAGGGGGATTCCCAGTAATGAAAAGTGACCATTGGATGGCCGAAGGAGGACATGAGGTTTTCTGCCTCTGTTTTGAGCAAGGGATGAATTATACTTATAGTCTATGAGAATGAAAACAAGCTAAAGATAAATTGCTAATGGAGAACAATGATTTTTTTGTTAAAAAATGTTTTTTGTTCTAATGCAATTTATATTAAATTCATATATATATATATATATATATATATAAATAATACACATTCCAATTTAAATAGTCAAAAATTCAATAATATATTTTATATTTTTAATTAATACAAATAAACTGTTTATTTATTTTATTTGTATTTTTAATATTATTTATTTAGTAAATAAACCTATTTATCAAGGAAACCTTAAAAAAAGTTTCCACACAAATATTTAGCAGCACAACTGTTTACAACATTGACAATTAGAAATGCTTCTTGAGCACCAAATCAGCATATTACTATGATTTCTGAAGGTTTGTGTCACTGAAGACACGGAAGACTTACAAATTAAATGCTTTATTATATTAAAAATATTATTGAATGTTAGTATGAATATATACATTTGAATGTGTTTTTTTATATATATTTTTAATGTGTAAAGGACTAAACACATATATAACTATAGCAATATGTGCTCAAGCACACACACACACACACACACACACACACACACACACACACAAAAACACATGCACACACACAAACACACATTAACATTTACAGAAGGCTTGTTAGTACACAAAAGTCTGCCACAACAGCATCTGGCTGGTCAGGTGGCTTTGTGAGCCCCCTGAGGAGATGGAAGTCTGCGATGACAGATCTGTATATGTGTGTGTGCTGTATGCACATCATACCATAATGGGATGACCTGCTGTCTCTAGAGAGTGTCCACGTTTGCTGCTTTCATTTTCTTTCACTCCATCAGTGTTAGGTGTGGCTAGACTCCCCACTGCTGCCAGACTGAGTGCACCAGTGACAATAAAAATGAATATTATTAAGGAGAGCGAGACTCACAGAAAAAGAGGTCAGCCCGTAAAGAGGAATTGACTGTGAGCACAAGCAACAGAGAAATCTATAACTAGCTTCCTCAGTTGGTCAGCTGCCAGGATGACCCAAATTCTCCACAGCAGTATAGCTGTCCATTACACACCCACACTTAATGTCTTCACTTAAACGACTATATACAATGAGTCTAGGCCATTTCAGGGAAGGGTGGCTGAGTCTGGCTTCCTTCCTAGCCGATAGAGGTCAGAGGACAACGGCCACATGTTCCCACTGTTTCAGAAATGCAGGACACTTGCTCCTTTTGGTAATGAATGTTGAACGTCTAAAGAGCCACACACACCTGAACACAGTCTCAATGTCAATCAACAGATTTATGAAAACATTTCAGGTCTCAATGATCTACCAATCCTTAGATGCAGGATATCCCATTAATTTCTTCCCGATAGTTACTGTAAGGTGACTTAAATAGCTAAAAGAAACGAGCTTCACAACGACCTATTCGAGACATATTCGTTTTTAGATATGCGCCAACTGAATAGTATATATAAGAAATGCATTCAACTTTTCTGATCATATGACATTTTCTTTTGCAGTATTATTGGTTGTTAGTGCTGTCCAGATGTTTGGTGGGAATTGGTGAATCAAGCTACTCATCCATCTCTCCAACCATCATCGGAGACCTGTTCACAAACAACAAAAGGACCATGATGCTCTCTGTCTTCTACCTGGCCATCCCACTAGGAAGGTGAGTGCCAAATTTCAGCAATACCACTCTATTTTTTCAATCCATTATCAGGTACAATTACATCTAGAAAATGAGTAAAATCCTAGAAATATCATTTCATTTTGTTTAATTTATTTCAGATGTTTATTAGAGATGGTTTTACAATAGCACTTTAGCACTAAGATAATACTGTACAACCAGATAATATTATTGCCATTATAAGAATTGTAATGTAGTATTTAGACATTTGAAGTCAGGTTAGGTGAACTGTGGCTGAAGGGAACAGCTTCTGACAGCCAGATAATCTCAGATACCATCTCAACTCAGTAAAGGTCAGTTGTGGAGAATTGAGCTCAGCGTTTTCGTTTTGTGTGGTCACCGCCTCAGATGGGCCAAATAGACAATGATATTCTAAATCTGTTTGCTGCTGTGAAAGAATTTAAGCTCTTCCATTTCGGTCACTTAACCCAGGCTGTGGCATTTTCTTTTTGTTCACTGAGGTGGAAAAAAACTGGAGAGAAAATTAGGAAAACAACAGAGGAAAGATGATAAATGCATGCATGTATGTGCATAGCATTTTTAGCTGCTTTGTGTTTACAGCATCTTGGAATTATTATTGTTAATCTGATAGGGAGAAAACCAACAACCAAACTAATCAAGTTTTGACCATGCAGTTGTATTACACCGAGTGTGATACACCCCCATTGAACTGAGGAAAATAAAATATCTGAACACAGCAGCTGTCACCATTAGACCTGTTCTAAGGCTAGTAATAGTATCGATGAGAGATTGAATGCAGTTAGAGGAAAGGACGGGATGGAAAAATAGCAGACCCAGGAGAGTTTTGCTATTTGCGGGATAACTGGGTTCGGCCTAAACAAAGCGATCGACAGTACGAACAATAAGAGGTGAAAGACTGGAGCGCTGCAGTGTGCCGCCTCACTTCCTGTCTAGCGCCCTGTTTATCTACAGTCAGGTTGTTACTGTTTCCAGGAAGTGACTTCAGCCATGAGAGAAAGGTTTGGCAGGAAATTTTAGTCCTCTTATGGGCATGGAAAAATATTTTAGTTGCTAATGAACATAGAGAAACAGAGTAATAACGACAACTTGTGTTACAAATTCGTACAGACATATAAATGGTTGTACCAAATTAATATCCAAAAACTCATCCAATGAAGAACATCAATAAGGTACCAAGTGGCCATAGGCTTAATTAAGGCTTAATTAAGGGGTTTTAATTAAGAGGTTACTGTGTGTGGGCTCATTTTGAGAGCCATATGTTCTCGATGATCAGGTCCTATTGTTTGATGGGTCAGGTCAGGTTGGTTCATCAGTCAGATATGCCAGGGGCAGTTAATGTAAACAATGTAGTTTACCTGCTGTGCGACAGCCTGGCGCTAGTGTCTGGGAACACAGGAAGTGTGCATTAGGTTTAAGATTTTCAGAGGGATGTTCCAAATTTAAACAGAAGGATTAAAATGGTGCAGTTAGGCCAGGGCCTGATGTACAAAAAAAAAAAAAAAAGAACAATCCCCAAATACGGGAGACTACATTTTCAAACCACTCTATAGTATTGCTTAAGTAATTGTACAATACCTTAAAACAAATTTAGGTTTTATTATTTAGGGTAAGCAAGAACTTTTTATAATGGTTTTTTTTTTAATTAAAGAAGTCGCTGATGCTCACCAAAGCTGCATATATTTGATCAAAATATAATAATATTCTGAAAATAATTGTATTAAATTAGAAAAATGTAAAAAAAAAAAAAAGTTCAAATTCATGCCAAACTTAGACAAAATATAAATTCAGTTAACTTCTTGTTTCTGTGGTTTCCATATGCATTTACTAGTGCACTACTGTCGAAATGGTAAGTATACCATAAATACAATAACAATTGGTGTTTAAATAGGTGTAATAGTACCTTAAAAAGGCAAAAACTTTTCTTTTCCCTCCCTGTTGAGTGCTATTGAGGCTTGGTAACAGGCAGGAGACAGGCAGAGAGAGTGACTGAGAATGAGAATAATAATGAAGCTGATGCTGAAAATATGGAGGAATACTTTCGACCTGAAATTGAGAACTGATGGAAAGAAAAACTGTGAGACATCCAATCAACTTTTTTAAACAGACTATGACCAAGAGGAGAAATTTCATTCAACTGTCGATGACAGGCAGCACAGTCTCAAACCAGATAATCCGCATACAGATATGGTATACAGAGGGAATAGTTCACATGTGCTTCAGCCACACCGAGATCATAACTGGGCAATTATGAACTTTATCAGACTGTAAACAGGATGTAGAGCTAGGAGAGAGTTTGGTCTGCGTCTGAAGAGATATGACTCACAGATTCCTCAGATACCGACAGGGTTGAAATGATCCCACCTTGAGTGCTCGTCTTCCTCCTTTCCTTATATCACTCATGTCAGGCAGTTTTGCCTTAGAAGAACTTAAAGGAAAGTTCATGAGACAAATGCCATATCCGACAGCATCAGACAGGGATTCTCAGAATTAGGTCATCTGAACCTTTGATGTTAGTATTTCAACACAGTCCCCAAATCCATCCAAAACCCAAGGCGACACAGTGCGGGAAGCTGGTCTCTCTCCGAAGTCATATCTCTTTCTCTTTCCCTCGGAGCTGATCTGTCATCATAAGCCCCTGAGTAATGCTAAGTGGTTGACTCTCTTATATTGCCAGAGGTGATGTTCAGAGTAAAGCCATTATCAGTGGCATTAGTATGCATGCTGAGTTCAGGCAGCCTAGCCAGCGCATAAAAGTTTTAGGGTGCATGACACAGCTTTGGGTGGGAAAGACAGCGGGGAAGAGAAGAGAAAGACTGCAAAGAAAGTGAGAGGGACCAAGTGAATGAGACAGGCACATGGCAAAATAGCTTAAGAAAACAAACATATTAACCCAACCTAAGTTGGTCAGGCTGGTCTGGTTTGCTGGTTTTGGACGGGTTTTGGACACATACACTAATTGAAAACCAATTTGGGTTTGCTGCTAGATCAGCTGGGACAAGTTTAAGCCAATCTTGGGCAGGATGGAAGACCAGTTAGAGTAGCTTAGACCAGTGTTATTAAACTGGGAATTCAACCGATTCTTGTTGAGATCGAGGTGTAGGGTGAAGGGATAGGGCTACATAGCCCTCGAAACGGAGATTTTTCAGAGGCACACTCCAAATGGAGGGCTACGAGAAAGTTCACAGAATGCATCGCAAAACATCGGCGAGATGGCTTCGCTAATGGTTAAACATTTAAATTTAGCGCTAGATGATATCACCATGCACTTTATTTACTCTATAGTCATTTAAATTAAGAAATTGTATAATAAATTACCTTTCCGAATCAGAAAAGACATACATTTCAAAGAAAGAATGTTATAATCATCATTTTTCCTCAATGTTCAGAGCAGCTGCGGTGATTGTCAGTCATGGAGAAATCCTGTAAAAACGCCATAACGGCAGAGCCATCGCCGACGACTGATGACGTATTGGGTTCATGAAAGGTTGTTCCATTTCATAGGGGAACATTTCAACCCCTTGGCCCTTGTAACTCTGTTTTGAGGGCCAAGGTGTGCACTCGAAAACAAGGGGTAAGGGGTGAATTGGGATTGAGCCTAAAACTTAAACTAGAACTCAAATTGAAAAGGTGAATAAAAAATAACTAACAATTATCACAATACAAACTATATTAAAATTCAAAACTAAAACTGGCTCAGTCTAGCTTAAATCAGCTTAGACCAGCAAACCAGCTGGAGAGCGGACGTTTATGCCTAGAATACGATATGTTTGTTTGTGTATAATGACTAAATCTTTTTGCCCTCTCTCCACAGCGGTCTTGGATACATCCTGGGATCCATTGCTAAAGATGCTGGAGGGGATTGGTACTGGGCACTGAGGGTAAGAGCTGTTAAAATGTTTTCTTATGTTGTATCAATATTTTAGAGGAAGCACGCTCAACCTCCACAAATATACACCATTTCCTCTCGGGCTGGTCAAAAATATCCCTAAAACCCATGGCAGACAGGTGAATCCTGAAATACCTTCAGCCGTCTCTTGAAAAAGCAACATAACATTCTTGCCCCCTTGAAGCCAATGCAATGGGCACTGAGTACCCAGCTAGCTCAAGTGCATTAATATAGCATTACCTCCAGCTCTCTCGGGTCCGCTCACACACGCTATCCGTGAGTAATGCAGTCTTCACAGTCTTTGTACTGCAAAGGCCCAGGAGAAGAGGGGGCTCACTTACACAGACCCTTTTGTTGTAGGATATTCCTCAGTAGCCTTGATTTGCACTGCTAACCAAAAGCCCAAAATAGAGCACCTTTTAATGCAGCTCAAATGAATAATTTATGAAATGATTGAGTGAGAGGAAGGGTAGTGGTCTGCAACTTTTGGGCAGCGAAAGAGAGAGCAAAAACAACTTTTCTGAGAAAGTGAGAGGCCTCTCAAGTGCTTTAGATTCCTGTCTTTCTTCCTTCATTAGCTCAGCGCAGTTTTATAACCAACGGTTTCTCTTGTTCAGTTCAAACTTTAACAGGTGGATGCTCAAGTTAGCAGGCGGGCTTCATTACTTGTTCCTTTCTCGGGGTCATAAAGAATCGACCGATGGTTTTATCGTGAACTTGAACTAAACTTGTTGTATGGCTGCCTCTTAAAACTCCAGCGTGGTTCTGTTGTCAAGCTCTTAGGCCTGAAAGGAGACTTTAAGAGGAGCATTAAACCCTCTCGTTCTTACAAAATAACCCCTGAACATGACAGTTATATGACCCTCAGGAACATAAATGGCTTTATTTGGTAGCTAGTTTATCAGAACGCTTTTGAAAACAGTAGCAGAGCTCCATTGTTTGAGCTCTTGGATGCAGTAAAACATTCCTTGAGGAGACAAAGCTCATGGTTTGGGGGACTATTAATCATCACTAGCACTTTAAATGAGTATAAAAATAACAGACAGATGAAAAAGGTACTCCATATCAGCCATATCCTGCCCTGAAATGGGAAAAAACACTCCGTGCCACTTTCCGCTTGTTTTGCAGGCCCTTAAAAAAACTCAATCGCCTTCCGTTCTCGAAGAGGGAGTGTGTTTTTTTGGAGCGGAAGATTATATCATAATTATTGAGAGCCATATCAATCTTCTGCAGGTCGAAGTGGGGAAATGCCAGGATAAATAGCACCTTGATCTCTCTTTCTTTGATTACACTCGTCCCAACTCTAACCTTAACAAGCACGAAAGAAGCTGCGCTAGCTTGAGATTAGCAGGAAAGGGCAACGTCTGACAAAGTGCGAGACAAGAGTCAAAGTTCAAGATGACTGATCAACGCAGGCTTTGATATTAAACTAAACCAGAGAGGTAGGGAGGGATCTCCACAGTGTGACTGTTAGAAAATAGGTCCACTGAAAAGACCTTTTTTTACGGCTGCTGGGTTTTCTAGTTACAGAGGGATAACAAGACCAAATCCAGGCTTTAGCGAGACACTGCAGCTCTGTATCAAAAGCACCGCAGTGCACACAGACACACATTCAGTCCACAGAATCACAGTATAGTGCGGGAAACAGCAGCATGTCAATGGGATGCAGTGATCCGTTTCCCTCTCATGCTATTTATAATGCTGAACACTACAAAAATAAAACGTTCACAAATTTGTTAGATAAACGTTAAACGTTAGATAATAATCAATATTTCTTATAATTATTCTCCAACACATTCTCAAACTTGTTTTTGTGGAATATCTCTTGAATTAAGTTATAATGTTGAAAACAGCTGTGCTGCTTAAAATATTTGTGGAAACCACGATACATTTTTTTCATCTTTAATGAGCAGAAAGTTGAAAGTTACTGCGTTTATTTGAAGCTCTGAAAGAAATCTTATAGACTACAAACTTTTAAACAGTAATTTTTAATTCTTAAGATAGATTCAATATTATATTATCTTAATTTTGCTTATACAATTGAATCTTGTTTTAATTTAACTTTTTTTTACCTGAAAATAAGACAATCAGGAACTTTTTTGCAGTGTAGATGACTAAATTTTTACAAGAAGAACTATACATACCTATAAGACACAATTATGAGCAGAGCGTTGCTTTAATGTGCTATAAATGATATCCAGAAGGATTGCGTCTGACAGATAGAATTGCTTTGGCTTTCACAAGCGACAGAGGCGCTTACGCTGCTTCCATGTGGGCGAGCAAACCAACAAACACACACACAAACTGCTGTGCTGTAGCCATCAGGAAGGATGATAAAAGAGATAATAGCTCATGGCCTGGTGGACCGCAGCTGCTCCCACACAAGGGAGAAAACTGAGAAAGAAAAACGAAAGGATGGAGTAAAGAAACATCACCTAATAGAGTCCACTTCACACTGCAGTCTAGTACCTTGCCGGCCCTACACACCCTAATGTGAATATAAATAAAACTAATCACAAAATACATAACACCACCATTATCGACTCGGCGAATAACTTGCTAGACCAAACAGGATGTGAGACAGTTTTTTATTGTTCAGCCCACAAGATTTTGTTTATCAGAGAGCACAGACTCACAGTAATACAAGCAAAAAAAATGTTTAGTCTAGTTAAGAGCACTGCACTGAAAAAAATTAAGCAGCATTTTTGCTTTTTCCGAGTAAAAACATCCTCAATTTGTGTAAGAAAACTTAAATAAGATAATAAGACTTGATTTTGTTAGATTTATTCTTTAAAAAAACAAAAAAAAAAAAAAAAAACAATTTGAGGTACCGGTATGTTATTAACGGAAAATGGTATGAAATAGTAAGTAATTTGCTTTTCAGTTATCAATTGTTTTAAGCATGTTTAGATATTGTTCTGGAAAACAAGGCAATGTTAAACTGCAATATCGAAAAAAAATATAAAAAATATAAAAAATAATTTTTTCTCCTGTCTCAAGGTTTCTCCAATGTTAGGTTTGACTGCTGGGTTCCTCATCCTCATCTTTATCCCTGAGCCGAAGAGAGGGTGTGCTGACCAGCTCACTGGACGGATAAAGACACGCACTTCCTGGCTCTGTGACATGAAAGCTCTTGCCAAAAAGTATGCCACTTTTTTTCCTATCCATTACTCAAAAATGAAATGAACTTAATGTTTAGGATTGGGATGTACCAGATGCAATCGCTTAATCAACCATTGAGTGAATATTGGACCCTCAGTGTCTATTTTTACAGTCATGCCTTCACTTGAACATGTGACAGTTCATTGGAGTAGCTGGCATAGAATTTTAAGGGCCAAGTAGTCTCTGCTTATCCTGTGGTGTGACAGAATATCATTAAAATTTAGTTGAATTATAGTTATCATTTTAATAATTTATTGTATTTTAAACACTGAGATATATACAATATCTATTATCATCAATAACATTACCTAAATTGTGTAGCCTATATTATATACGCATGTATTATTACATGTATATTGTTCACACCACTATACCAACCATATTTGTTGTGGCTAAACTGACATTGAATGTAGGTAATGGCCATATTATATGTCAACTACCCATATCACATTGGTTAACGTGATTTCCCCAAGTAGAACATCACTGTTGATCCTGGAACAACATTTCAATCAACCAATCAGATTTGAGGGATAGTTTTGTAGTTAATGTCAAGTTTACAATAAGATTAGGGGCTTTTACACTATTCTTATTCACCTATATTTTTCTACCTATTTAGGGATAAGTTATGGGTAGGGTTAGGTTTAGGGGTCGGGATAGGGTTAGGACTATGTTTTTGGACAGCAATGTTGTTCCAGGATCAGCAACAGATGCAGATCCAGGAACATGTCTTACTTGGCAAAATCACAGCAACCACATACATTATGTCAGAAAGACATAAAGAGCAAAAATAACAGAAAAACAGGCAATACAAAAAAAAAAAATATATATATATATATATATATATATATCTGAATGAAAACTCAAGAATTATGCATGTTAATTCCTATTCTTTCTGTTCCCTAGCCGTAGTTATGTATTTTCTTCTCTGGCATCGGCCGCAGTGTCATTTGCCACGGGGGCGTTTGGGATCTGGATCCCACAGTACCTAGTCAGAGCTCAGGTGGTGCAGAAGACAGCAGAGAGCTGCACCTATCAACCCTGCAGCAGTAAAGACAGGTCAGAACACACACACACACACACACTCCGCTTGAAACCTAACGGTCAATCACAAGCGTTACAGTTTTGACAATGTTTCTCTCTCATCTCTAGTTTGATATTTGGAGCCATCACCTGCGTGACTGGGCTGTTGGGGGTAGTGATCGGCGCTGTGACCACACGGCTCTGCCGCCAGAAGACGGAGCGTGCCGACCCGCTGGTGTGTGCGGTCAGCATGTTGGGCTCTGCTATCTTCATCTGCCTCATCTTTGTTGTGGCCAAGAAAAGCATTGTGGGAGCATATGTAAGTAACTCTACTTTCTTCAGTCTCAGCTTACTTCACAAGTCTATACTGTAAAAATTGACTTTTTAATTAGTTATAAATTAGTCTTTTGGATTTGTTTTCCAGTAAAACATATATGTGTGCGAGTACTTGAAAAACAACAGACTAGACTAGATTAGACTAGACTAGACTAGACTAGAATCTAGAAACTCTATTTGGCTTCTCCACTCATAATCAAACAATCAATAAATAATACAATTATTCTAAAATATTAAGATTAAGACTAAGAAAATAATATTAATACTCCTTACATTCACTAAGGTGAATTCAGGGTGATTGGGACATTATGACACTTCACATAAATAGCTCATATTATATTGGTTGCCATAGAACTGTGGTGTAGAGATTGAGATTGTCTCTTGAATTGCTTCTTAACACTGTGGCCTGAATATCTCTGGTACAGCTCCCTTCTGACTATCCTTGTATTACAATGAGCCCTTTCGGTCCATGTCAAAAAAGGTCACATCTAGTCAGAGTTCAATATAATTAATATATGTTAATATAGGTTGGTAGGCTCAAACCCAATACTAAAAGAATAAGCGCAACAGGCACTGCGTACGCACTTTTTTAACTGGCATGTAAAGCAGGAAAAGGGAGCAGTTTTCACAGTTACGGCTAAGAAACAATAGACTGTGGCATTTGTGAGTCACTAATGGAGAAAAAGTTATGCTGCAGTGCATAAGAAAACAAAGAAAAAACTTCTACCAGGTCATACTCGTTCTTCTAACAAGAAACAATCAGGTCAGAACAAAATGCTGGTGTTCCCTGAAGGGCCAAACCAGACTGGGAATCTCATAAGTGTTTATGATGAGAAGTCTAATGAGAAAGTATTTTTAGGGACTGCGTGTCTTTCCCATGGACAAAAGAACCTTGTACACCATGATAATGCCATGTCTCTGGTGTTATGTTTGAGAAACTCTAAGCTTGCTCAACGTTTGCCACCTTATCTTAACTATGAAAGACTCACAAACTGTACCCTCAACCGACCTGGTTTTGCAACCATTTGTTCCTTTGTTAAAAGCTGTGATGACTTTAAGGACTATAAAAGCAAACTGTATGACCTGTGTGGTCTCATGGACTCATACCAATCTTTAGTTGGATCTTGATCAAGACAAGAACAACAATTTATAGAATAAAATAAAATTCAATTAAAAATATACACTGCCATTCAAAAGTTTGGGTTCAGTATGTTTAAAAAAAAATTATAATTTTATTCAACAAAATGTATTACATTGATCAAAAGTGACAGTAAATGTATTTATAATGTTTAAAAAGATTTCAAATAATCCCAGTACTGTCTATTAATCAAAGAATCCTCAATCCTCATTTAATTAAGCAGCACAACTGTTGATAATACTACTGAAAATATTGATGATAATAATAAGAAATGTTTATTGAGCAGCAAATCATCATACAAGAATGATGTGACACAGAAGAAAAATTACATTTTAAAATATATTTAATCAGAAACCATATTTTTTAAATATGATATTTCAAAATATTTGTTTCTACTCTATTTTTTTATCAAATAAATGCAGTCTTATTAAGCATAATAGACTTTTTTTTTTGAATAATAGAATTCTACATAATAGAATCTTTTTTTTAATCTTAAGACCCTAAACTTTTGAACAGTAGTATATATTGTCATTTCGCAATATATTAGTTGTCTCACTAAACTCTTAGAAAACAGAAACCTTTTGTTATTTAAATTTCGAATGGAATATCACTGTAAAATGTGAAAATGGAAAAGTGTATTTCTCTCAGTCTAGCTGAGAGCAACAATCACTCAAGATTTATATTTATAGAAATGAATGACACATCATTTAGACCACAGGCCCTGAAGCCATCTTGTCAAACAGGTAATATGACAGTGGCAGCCAGCCCCCAACTAAAGACATGAGCACCCCTGCAATCACCTGCCACAAGGCTTCTGTAATTACATCCAAATGTAGCATACGAAAAACAAGGAATCCAAAACTTTAAGGAGGGAAAATATCTGGAGTGAGAAAATTTGATAGTGACAGATGTGCAGTCTGAGAATGTGACAGCACTCTGGAGCTGTGTCAGGGTCTGTTCTAGCAAGGACAGCTGCTGTCTCATCAGCATGTTGGCTGATCACAATTCAGTCCTGAACCAGAGTCCTGCAGGGCTTTACAGTTTTAGCCTGTCTGTCCGTCACGCTGTCTGAGCCTCAAGTCACTTCGGGACAGAGTTTCATACATGTCCAAACATGCGCACACTTTCATGCTTTCATTTTCTCACCTTCAGATCACACTGACATCTAAATGGAAGGTTCTAGACCCACAAACTAAAAAAAAAAAAAAGACACCATGAGGTCATCTCTCTGTCAGCCCTGCTCAACATATCTCTGAGACCAACACAAGATCCTGTCAAAATCAGAGTAGCCACTTTAATGATCAAACCCCCTTGCAACCCACAGTTCTTCACACAACCCTGTCTGGTTTGACCCCGGCAGCTGCCGTCAGCCGTATTCTGGCCTCAGAGTTGTGGAGAGACCATCTACATTCTGTCAAGTCACTAAGATTAGTGGAGATATTCAATGCTCAGTCTGTCTCAGTCTGCCATAAGCACCTTAAAAATCCAGACTAGGCACTGTGGGATATCAGTTAATTTATGTGGGAATGCTTAAATCAGTTAGTCTGTTCTCATGGGATTGCACAAATCTGTTGTGATAACTTGTTAAATGTGACACGGTTTCAGCCGCCAGACATTTTGAGTTCCACTAATGGTCCTGTTGCTCTCAAATCAAAAATTACATGTAACCACGGTATAATGACATGTTTTCATATTCCACAACATTGAGTAGTTTTTTTGTTTTTTTTAGTATATGAGCCGGGTTAATTTAGTCTTTGACCAAATGCAAACCCTGGTGTGTGTGTGTGTGTAGATGGTAGAGTAACTTTTCATTTTAAAGAATGAAATATAATTGACCTTTCCTCTTCTATTCTATTTCTATTCAGATCTGCATTTTCATCGGAGAGACGCTGCTCTTTCTGAACTGGGCCATTACAGCGGACATTTTAATGGTTTGTATTGAAAGCCTGTATTTATCTGCTGGGTCGAGTGGAAACTTTAAAGTCTTTAACTGTAACAAATTGTCATCTTCTCGGGCTAGTTTCTTATTTTTGAATGGTGGGCTGCATGACTACGAGGTTTGGTATAGCCTGGGTGGGGCCCAAGACAAATTTGCTGCTTGTTTTGATTGTACTTAATGGAAATGCCACTCATGGAAAGTAAAACGGTAATAACATTTTCAGCTTGGATGTTTTTGTGTGTGAAGGAAGGAAGTAAGTGAGTTAGAGAAGAGAGAAGCTGTAAACTGAGTTCATGTAAGGTTGATTTAGTCACTTCAGTCAGCCTGGGTCAGTGTAAAGCGCTCTGACAGTG